GGGTAGCAGGGCACAATGTGAATGTAAGACTTTTGCTCAAATTTTTCCTTATCATATGTTCTCTTGCTGGCAGAAAGGTTCAGCCAGCTACATGTGAGACAAACATACAATTACATCTCGCTTCACAGTGCACCTACACTTCCTAGTTTTTAACACTGGTTAAAAACTAACAGAAGCTCAGTCCATGGAGATGAGCTGCCTCAAAAGGAATCTGGCTTCCTCTGAATAGGCAGCCCAGACACCTCATGGCTGCGGGCTGTAACAAGGCGAGACATTTCCTGGGAGAGGCACCAGTGCTGAATTTCCCGCAGGAATTACACTTGTAGCAAATTAATTTTTAAGGGCCTCGCACCTCTAGTTTAAAGGGACTTGGATGGGAAATCTCAGCGGTGCACTACGAATGTATCTTCTTCTTCACTCAATAAAAATCCTGCAGCTTTAAATACCCATCTTCTCCTGTATAAATAAAGTAAGTGTTTCACTTTTCACAAGGGACCAATTCAAGTGGCAGGACAAGAACATCTGAAACGGCAACGCCTCAAGTCTTTACGTGCGTAACCCTGGGCCTCTCAACTACAGCAGACTTAAAAGCTTTCTAAACACAAGCTATTCACTATAATTTCCACCCAAGCTCCAAGCCACTGTGGTTATTGTGGAAGGAAACAACACCCTAGCAATCTCGAGCAGCCCAAGCTGTAAGTGGTTTCAGTGACAGTAATTCCACTGTGTGCCATGAAAGATCAAGCATAATTGCTACCATATTTAGTCAAATGGATGTTATTAATTTAAAGTATAATATTGTAAACAGAGAAGTTTGCTGCATTACTGTGATTAGGGTGATGTCTCTTACCATTTCTTCCCTTTCCCTCCTACCTGCCTTGTTTAATACACTCCACTCTCGCTTGAATAATCTCATCAGCACCACGTCAGTGTTTAACCCTGCTCCACTCACAGCCATAAAGTTGGCTACATCAGCTGTGAAAACACAGCAACTGCTGTGCAGAATTAACCTAAAAGTCCTCAATTTCACCTTAGTCCACTGTTACATGCAGGTCTTGGTTTCTGAGGGCATGTGAGACCCAAAAGCGACACGATGGGGATTCAGGGATTGGTGGTGATCTGCACACAGCCCCATGTGCGGCAGGACGCCAGCTACCCAAATTTTACACAGCAATTTTAGAACCAAGGAAAAAGGTTAAAATGGAGAAAATGGAGATGTTGCCAGCACTGCATTCCTCAACAGCACTGGCAATAAAAACGCTGGTATTTTCACATCCAAAAAGCACAAATCCAGTGCTTGGCACAGCTCTGCAGGAATGCACCCTGCGCTGGCTGGGGTGAATTGTGGATGATGACATTTCAAAACATAAAATGTCAGCCATAAAGAAAAGAAGAGAAAGGAGCACAGCCTCTAACTATTTTTGTTTTTACTGCATGCACTTGGAAAATGAAATCATTACGGCAGTTACTCTTCTTCACTGAGCAGCTACTGGAGCTCCTGAACAGCTAATGCTCAAGTGCAGGTAAGTGAACAGCCAGTAGCATTTACTCAGTTTATTTATACCTCCAGCCCAGGATGATGTCTTTTAGCCTTCTGGGCTGTTTCTTCACATTTCACATCTTAGGTAACCTTGCCTTCTGCACACATTGAAAGGTTTTTCCCATTATTTCCTTTTCTCCCCACTAATGAAGTTAAGAGTCTTCCTGTCACTTTACTCTCTCAAATGCAACTTTATGGTAAATCTGTATTTTTTCCTGTCAAGTTCAAAAAAGCACCATTAAATTTAATGCATTTCAGATGTGAGGGCAACCAGGGAAAGGATGAATTTCTGTGAGTCTTTGGTCTTTGTTGCATTTGCTTTTGCAACATGAAACTTAAAGCCATAACAACAAATAGAAAGAAAACTGGCTTTTGTTGTAAACAAGTATATGCGTGTGTGTATATATATATATATTTGTGCATCTGCGTGAGTGCATCTTATGACGACAGAAGCTAATTTCCTTTAAGAACATGTGTATTTGCAAACCAGGTATGATGTGAACTAACCTGACATCTCATGAGTTCCACAGGAATCTCTCTTTAACCTTAGGGCAATTTCTAGGGAGTGTTTTTCTTTTAGACATCATATATTGCAGATGGCATTTTTAGGCTTACAACTTAACCTTTTTTGTTTGTGCAATGTGATATTTACGATTAAAAAAGAAAAAGCCTCTTAAAATACACGTGTTTGAGAGCAAGACTGAGATAACCAAATACAAATTACTCCTGCACATGTTTAGTTATCAAAAAATGAATATGTAGGAGAGGCTTTATACGTACTGTTGTAATTACTGGCTTCCCCTTCTGATGACATTGTTTAGTGTTAACATTTCTTTGTATTCTAAAGCTACCCATCTCATTGGGTGTTATACTTCAGAAAGTGTCGGAAAAGAGAACCAACCAAAAAACAACTCGCAAAGAAACTTGGAGAATGGATTAACTTGTATAGTCATTAGAATCTCTGCTTTTGCTAATGGCAGTCTTTTTGCTGTAGAAAACCATCCTAACTCACCTATGAGAGCTGAAGGGTCATACACTACCTATGGATAAGGTACTGAGCATAGGTGAGCACCAACAGTCATTTTCCTGTCTTAATAAAGTGTCATATTTAAAGCAAATTTAACAAGGTCCTGAAGCCCTTTAAAGTTTAAGAGTTATATGAATGCATTTATGAATACTGCAGTATTCATGATTGCCTAAGGTATATTGACATTAGTATGACAGCCCCTAGATTAGCATTTCAATGGGGTTTTCATGCTCACAGCTGCAATGCAGACCTGCACACAGTGCTGAGTCAGTGCTAGGTCCCTGAACTGTCACCCATTCAGCTCCTGCCCCAGCTCAGGCCACAAAGTCATCAGCATCTCTTGCATTGAGCTCAGTAGAAACAAATTCACCATCCACCCCAGCTTTGCCTTAGGTAAAACTAAACTCTTGCTTGGGATAAACGCCACCTCCCCAAATAGCAAATGCAGGGCCGATTCACAAAGAAATACACACAAATCCTTGATCATTTTTGAAATTCCAGGCAGGAAGGCTCGAATTTAAATGAACTCAGGGAAAACCAACCCAGACAGGTACAGCAACTGTGAGGGATTCCTGGGCAAGGCAGGAGGAAAAGCGACCCTCATGCATGGGATGGAGCAGCCACAATTTCTCAAGGCAACCTGTGCCAGGGTCTCACCACCCTCATAATGAAGAAGTTTTTCCTAACATCTAATCTAGATTTCTCCTCTGGCAGGTTAAGGCCATTCTCCCTTCTCCTGTCCCTACAGGCCCTTGCCAAAAACCCCTCTCTGGATTTCTTGTTGACTCCTTTAGGCATTAGAAGACTGCTCTAAGGTGTCCCCAGAGCCTTCTCTTCTCCAGGCTGAACCATCCCAATTATCTCAGCCTGTCCCCATAGCAGAGGTACTTCAGCCCTTGGAGCAATTTTGTGGTCTCCTCAGGACTCCAAGATGTCTGCGTTCTTCTTATGTTTGGGGCCCCAGAGCTGGACTCGGTTCTCCAGGTGGAATCTCACGAGAGCAGAGTAGAGGGGGAGATTTCCTCCCCTTGACTTGCTGGTCATGTTTCTTTCGATGCAGCCCAGGATACGGCTGGCTTTCTGGGCTGCAAGTGCACACTGCTGGGTCATGTTGAGCTTCTTCTTAATCAACACCCCCAAGACCTTCTCCTCAGGAGTGCTCTGAATCCGTTCTCTGCTCAGCCTGTAGTTGTGTTTGCCACTCACTGAACAGCAGGAGACTAATCAAGTGGCCAACACAAGCGCAGGCAGCATCATCTAAACCTCTGTCTTGCAACTCAAGTGGGGCTCAAATGATTTACAAGTCTCTATACGAGATCAATCATTCTAGCAACAATTCAACAATTCCTTGTCTTTCAACACAACATATAATTTTATGCTTTTTAAGATGCTATATGATTGCAAAACATATTGTAGCAACCAGAACACCCTTGCGTAGACATAATTAAGGTACCCTTTGTTCACTTCAGAGAAGCATCTGCAGTGATGGCACAGATGTTTCGGTTGTTCCCTAACAGCTCCCCCATAGAAATGCATACCAAAATAAATGTCCTTAAGCAGTTCCATGGCCTTCATGATACAAGAACGTGATAACCTCATCCAAGAGCCCAGCTGAAAAGACCCGCCACTCAAAATGTATTTATTGGGATGGAAATCCTCACCAGAGCAGCTCGAGGGTGCATGGGGATGAGGACTGAGCCACTGGCCTCTCAGGAGTGGAGCATGGAAGTCAGGACACAGCCTCCCTGCTGGGTCACTCCAGCCCTGCCTTCCTCACCAGCAGGAATGCTCTCAAGGGTGGGGAAGTTAAATCAAGTCGTTCTACTCTTCCTGCAGCAATGTCTTCAGAACTGATCACATGGGATTTATTTATGAACTGGGCTGCTGTCACTAGAAGGTTTGTGTTCACTATTAAGTGAAACGGGGAAAAAAATCTACAGTAAATGTGGGACTATGAATGGGACTTCACTTGTGGTCCCAGAGGTAACATACACAGTATTTTGCTATATTTAACATGGTAAAAAAAAACCCAACTCTGTATCACTCTTAGATGCCCCTACAGTCTTAACACATTTCATTAATATCTGTTTTAAGTTGCACAACCAGTTCCCAAGACACCCTCCTGTCCCTCCCCCCAAATAAACTAGTTTTAATAACAAGATAAATATGATGTGCTTCTCCTTGCTGAGTGCATTGACTTAAGGCATAGGCACAATTCCCCTCTTTGAACAGAGATGGTATAGTCCTGTGTCCCAATACAATTGTTATCCTGGGTGACCCTTTGCATTCAAACATTAGCTCAAGACATAATAATTACAGGAATAATTCATTAACAAATAGATTGAGTTTGTTAATTAATCTGAAAGCATTACAGGAATAAATTTAATCAGAGTGATGCTCTCTAAACTAAACATGATGCATTAGATGCATCTAAACTAAACTCCACAGAAATCTTTCCTTTGAGTCCAGTCAGTTTTGGATTAAGCCAGAACTGTTCATTTAAAACAAAAATCAAACCCTGGTACTCTCCAGATGGCAAGAAATTATGTAGAAAACTGTAAAAAAAGAATGGGCTAAATTATTTCTAAAGATTTCTGTCAGCTACATTTTATCTTGAAGATCGCTTGAAGAATACCAGCTTTGCTTAGACATCACTAGGGATGGGCACTGATCTGTCATATCTGCACATGAGGTAATACTTTCAAAAGTGTCTCAGTGGCTTAGAAACCTTGCTGTCCTCATGAGATTTACTGCAACTTGGGTACTTTTGCAGTAATTAATACATTTATTTTGCAGAGATTTTTATATGCATGGAGATGCAATTATGGATCAGAATTCAAAGGTCTGGGCTCTTCTCATTAGTTTTCAAAACTTGAACAGTGAAAGTAATGTTACCAGATCAGACTTCCTGTTTTATCCTGTGACTCCTAGAATTTAAAATAAGGAAAAATGCAGCCACAAAGTTTTGGGGGCTCAAATTCTAGAGGAACCAGAATCCAAAGCCCTTGCTTTCCAGTAATCTGCTTTGCTACAATCTTTATAAATCCTTAAAGAAGTCTGTTTCATCGTCAGCATCTCTGATATTTGCAGTCTCCCATCAAATTTAAGTGACCTTGGACTGTATAACCTGAAAAGAAAGATTACAAGAATTTTGGCGTAGCACCTACATTACACATCTTATCTGTACAAATTTCTTAGTTTCTATGGGTAGAATAAGTATTTCTCTCTGTTTCTACGGGTACTGATAGGCAATGTCCAAATCTTAAATCTTCATGCCTTCACACCTAATCTTCTCAAGGTTAAAGGTGCTAATGGAGAGTGATCCAGGACACATGTCAATTAAGGAGATTCAGGATTTTTCTAGTTAATCCAACATTCACTTTGGTTTTTTCCTTCCAAGAACTAGATGCAGTGCCAGTTTTGTTAGCAGAGAGATGACTTCAGGTCAGGCTTAGAGCTAATACATCACATCTGAATAGCAAAAGGCATCCTTGGCCATGCACAGGCAAGTCTCAAAACCCTTTAGAAAAATACAGGATTATTCCAGCAAGATTTGGGCTTTTCTACTGACCAAGAGCAATCCATCTCTCCCAGCAGGGAGCCATGCTTCAGGTGAAAATTAGAGAGTAATTTAACCTCAGGTACCTTGGATCACTCTATGTGATGAGTACATCACATCTGCTTGATTAGTTTTTCCTTTTTGTTTTTTTCATGCCACTGATTTAATGGTGCAAAAATTATCAGAGATGCTTCTCTTCCCTTTATATGTTGGTGGGTCTACATCGGTTCCAGGGTCTTGCCCAGCCAACAATCCCACTGCTCTGAGAACATGATCAAAACCAAGGGGTGATCATTAGACTATATTAATACAGAAGGTTCCAAGGGAGCATCAAATCCAATTCAGCAGATTGTACCAGTAAATTTTGCTATGGGAAAGAGAAATGCTACACAAATGTAACAGGGTCACCCTGGGATTCCTTGTACTGAAACATCATTTTACACAGAGGATATATATATATATATATTTTATATATATATTTTTATATATATATTCACACACACCCGCGCGCACACACAAAAAAAGTCTTTGATAGGCTTTCTGTGTTCTAGTAAAAATAGTTGGCAGCTGCAATCTGTGAGACCAGAACTGGCTTTTGTGCTGCCTGCGATGCCCCCACTCTGCAAATTGTCTCTCAAAGGCAGACGCTTGTATTTATCTGGCAGGTTGAGCTAGTGCCTGCCTGCGACAGAAACAACCTCCCATTGGGACACACACAGAGCTCGTAGATTTTTTGCCTGGACCCTGCAGAAGAGGAAGATCCTTGAGGCAAGTTAGGTAGTTTGATTTTTGCAGAATTCAACGTTATCTGAAGGCGGAGGTGGGGAAAGAAAGAGAGAGACAGAATTAGTGGAGAGCTGTTATTTTTGATCTTGTGTTCAAAGAAGCTTCCGTCAGACAACTCAGCTACCACAAACACTGGGTAGGCAACTGTATTAATACTGATACAAATCTGGGTGAGCATGTTACTGGCCTTTACCATGAGATGCCCAACACCTCCAGTTTGTTTCTGCTAATCTACCCACTGCATTTTCCTGTCTTGTAGCTTCCTGGGACATCTCCATGTTTGGGTGAACCCAACTAGAGTTATCTCACTGCTGTGTGGCATCCCTGCATAGTTCAGGTGCACATAACGACTTCACTCCCCCACCAGGACTTCTGGCACTGTGATCCCATTGCCAGTTATGCTGTCAGGTTCATAGTGCTGACTTTTATGTGTATTTTATATATATCTGTAACACTTTCATGTTTGTTAAAAAGAACTTAAATGCTGTAACAGAACTGAATTTTTCCTTATAAAACAGAACATAAAAGCAAACCTGTGGCAGCTTTTAGACACATGGCAGCTACAGGGGAGCGCTCTACCATCACTAAGAAGAGCACAGTAAGATAACCTGCACACCAGAGCAACTGTATTTGCTCTTATCCTCAATTACAGTAAGAGTCTCCAGTTTTATCATTCAACCATCTATCTCCTGAGAGAGACAGGTCAATATATGAATTTTAAAATCAACTTAGTGTTAAAAACATTAAGATAACTTCTTGCAGTAGTGAAATGCCTTGGACTTCAACTTTATTGTATTAGGTCACTTGGTTGGGGGTTTTTGAATTTTTGTCAGTTTTTTGGTTAACACCAGTGGTCTGGGTTTAGAACGTCTTAAAATGCAAATGTTTAGAGATAACAGAACTGCAGTAGAAATCCCATTCTGTTTATTACACCTGGTACTAAGATAGAAAAACTTTAGCTTATGTTGAAGCCCTACTGCCAGAGGTTCATCTTCAATGGGAAGCTCCTCCTGTTGAGGCCCTTGGTGGGTTCCCAGTGGGGGCTCCTTAGCTACATCCTCCAGTATCTTCCATCACTCTGGCAGGAAGAGGGGATGAGAACCATGTGCCCATGTATTTTTGACACACCAGAAGAGACTTAATTCAACATCTATTTTACTTTTGTTCTATGTTGTCAGTTTTACTTAGTCTCTCTTCCCCTTTGGGATCTTACCTAGTGCAGCAACAACCTGTGTCTCCTAATGATCCCTTTCTTTCCAAAATGAAAACATCAGCTACAAAAGCTTTTCAGATCAATACTGGTGAATTAAGCTTTTCTTATAGAAAAATGTATGATAAAAGATTTAATTACGTTGGCCAAGTAAATCTTGTTTTAAAGTGACAAGGAAACAAAGAATTTAGGAGCAGTCTGTATTTTACAGCCACGTAAATCTGCTTGAACAACAGATGCTATTATCCAAGCACTTTAAAAATAATGAATCAGCCTTTGCCACAGAGCATCTCATTTACATATGAGCTGTTTAATCACTGCTAGCAGAAACTAAGCTAGGAAGTCGTGCTGCACCAGTGCTCTCATACCAGTGTTTCAAATGCAGCTGCTCAGTGACCCAGAAGGGGATCTGCAGATCTGTGGCTTGGTCTGGCTTTGCTGCAGGGCTTGCCGTGCTTTGCTTACCTCTCCATCTTTGGATTCCAGCCTGAGCTCTGTCCTGCATGTGGCTTTCAAGCTGCCGGCCTCGGCGTTGATCTCGATGCCTTTTGGAGCCTCCATCACCAGTGCACGTGTAGGTGACTCCAGTCTGTAACAGAGAGGGGAGTTAGCCTGGTGGGTTGAATATTCATGTTCAGTCTCAGGCTGTCATCTTGCAGAGCCTGACTGTCCATTTCATGGCACCTTAGGACCTGCTGCTGCTCAGATCCATAGCTGGTTTAGACAGTGGGAAGAATTCATGCACAATCTGGTAAAACACATCACAAATCCAATCTGCTAATTGCAGATTGGTGCAATTAATCTCCGTATTTCTGATACGAAATTATCAACTTTGCTATGCTGGGTCAAGATGCAAGGTACAATAAAGCTCCCCCCATGATCAGCTTGCTCATCTGCAAGTTCAGATTTCTAACTAATCAGTGTTAACGGGGTATATTAGCAAAGCAGGACACCTACACAGACAGTACAACACTCTTGTTCCTCAAACCATGGCTCAAGAAGGAACAAATTATTTGTCTTGACTCCCTATAACACGAGGTTTGGAAGAGCTTAAAGGACATAAAGAAATCAATGAAAACAACCAGGCTGAAGATCCCAAGCGCCTGATGTCCAGTCCTATGCTTACATCATGCTGCTCACAAACAAGCTCCTCTCTGTAGTGCTTTGACCCCTCCAAACCATGGATACACCACACAGGTATCTGATAACTCTGGTATAGCACTGTTTAACATAGCCAAACCTTTTATTTCAGGCAACTGGGGTTAATGCTGCAAGATGTGGAAGTGAAAGGTTCAGTCTTCCTTACTGATTATCCATTCATAAGGCTTGTATTATACTTGTTTCTTCTCTTCTTTATAATACGCTCTCTTATTACTTTCTGCATTGAAAATGATAATAAAAAACAATTCCCCCTCTTTGAGAATATCCTCTTTGTTGATTTTATCACCATTTATTTACTGTACCATCACAGAACTTAGACTATGATCTCCCCACGTGAAGCAGGCAGGCAGGCTGGATCAGAAGCTGCTCTGCTTTGACTGCTTCAGGCTTGCAGCACCAACAAAACCAAAGCACAGGGCAGCACACAGCCACCCAGCCCACTCAGGCAGCTTTTAGGACTGGCTTGCATCACTGCTGTGGCACTTCAGCTGTTTCTCTGCTCCTCATATATAACCATTTGTGCAAGTCAGTGTATCCTTAAATGGACTCCTGCTAGTACTGAGACAACATTATGGGAGACTGAGGGAGAGCTGAATAAATTGATCTGTATTTATTGCAGCCAACAGTTCAATAAAGCAAAGGCAGAGTTCCCTCTGTGTGGCACTTTTCAATTTATGGCTTTCCCTCTTGTTGCTGTCTTCATATTGCTGCTTTTTGAGCACCTTCCCCTCAATATACCAAACTCACCCGTAATTTCGTGGCTGACTCAACTAAATCTAAATTTCAGGGAAGAACTGAGGCATACGCAGCCAAAGGAATGAGCATGCTCTCACGGTTACCAGTCTCTGCACAATCTTTCTGAGCTGCTTTTTATTTGCTTTCTTTAGGGAAGCTACACTTTATGTAAACCTTCTTCTGATCCCTCCTCTGGAATCACCCCTTGTCTGGTTTCTGAGGTTAAAACTGCTGCTACTCACTTCCCACCACTCCCACGACTGAATTGCAGATTGCTTGAAGGAGTAAAAGCTTGCAAAGAGTGATTGCCATTAAATAGTGATACCCGGGATATGATTCCTTCTGACCTTCCAATTGCAGTAATTGCCTTTCCAATATCTGTTAGAATTTCTTTATGGCAAAACCAGCCAGAGCCCACAGCCATAGGGCTCTGGAACATGCATTCATTAGGGTGAACACTCTGTCTGCCCCACATTTTCTCTATGGACTTCTCCCCAGGGATACAGTATATTCCCATCTTCAGTGGTGTAGCTCACAGGCTTACCCTGAAAAATGCAGGACCCTCTGCCTGCACTAAGCCCCCAGGATCTGAGCTGCAGTGGCTGGGATGCAGGCACACATCCACTCCTGCTTCACAGGCAGGATCCTCCAGAGTTGAAACAGAAAGCTGGGGCCAGTTGTGTCTGAAGTCTCTGTAGCTAAATTCACCAGAGGATGTGTCCAAACCCCAAGACAGCTGAGCTAATCTGAGGATAAAACAATTCCTAAGAACCACAGCCAGGTGACTGCAGCTCTCCAGCATATTAGTGACTCTTCAATTTCTTTGATGTCTTGGCTGTCTCAATGCATTTGTTCATCTGTTAATCTTGTAGCTCTTCTGCCCACTGAGAAACAGATCTTGTAAGTTCAAAACAGCATTCAGTCACCACAGTGCAAATGCACTCATTTGCAGCAGCAAGCACTCAATTTGTGCTCTGTACAGGAGGAGCTTCCCAGTCCCACACCAGTGCCTTACTGGAGAGTGTAGAGAGCTGGGAAATTGGGGAATGTGTTCCCACAGTGGAGGGGGATCAAAGAGGGCCTTCTTGAAGATCCTCCCCTGTGGATACAGATCCCCCTAACATTCAACTAAGTTAAATTCATGCTTTCAACGACCTACCAAGTACCTGGGAACCTATTAGACAACACTGTCCCCAGGTTTTATTCTCTTTTCTTACCAACAAAGTGACTGAGTTATTTCTCCCTCGTCCACCCAGTGAAAACCTGCAGGCAGAATACCATCATCTCACAAACACTGAAGAAACCCCACAATTTTAGATACATCCTAATCCCTGCACAACTTCTTACCTCACAGAGGCCCAAAGGACCCTCTCAAGCACCTCCCAACAGTCCACAGTGCACTGTGAGACCAGCAAATGATGCGGGGGCTTTGCTGCTGCTCCATAACCCACCCTGCTCCCTGCAGTACCATGTGCCTTTTGAAGTTAGCTGGGCTGGCCCCATCTCTGCCATCCTAAATCACTAGCTCCGAAAGCTGCAATCCTGCTGATACGCTGAATTAACCAAACTCAATCCCTTCAATGTTAAAAACACAATTTTGACCCCCCTCCCCCCTTTTTTTAGAACCTTAAAACTATGCAAATGAGTGCAAGCACTATAACAGCAAACAGGTTCTTCCAACTATGAGAAACTTGGGCTTGCAGCCCACACGGTTTTGTCCTTGTGCTGTGGGTCTGGAGCCTGACTCTTCTCTCTCTTACATGTTCAACACTGGTGTAACTCCACCCGTTTGTATGGGACTTTTGTCCCAGTTTATGATAACTGTAAAGGAGGATGAAAAGGTCTAAATATATTTTTCCTTGGCATTTCAGAGGCGTATGATTGTAAGGGATTTAGTTTGATTATTTTCTAATATCCCAAATGAATCTCTGAGATACCTGACTTTAAGCAAGGAGCTAAAAAAATCTGTGCAAAGCCAGAGAAAGCAGTTGAGGACTTTATGCTCTTGGGGGGTTGAGTAATGTTTACCTAATACTTTCATTTGAATCAAGTGTTTAAGAGACACTCTCCTTTAAAACCTAATTCTGTCTTCCAGAGCAGAACCAATTTGGAGACTAATAATGAAAGAAAATGATTTAGTGATGAATAGACAATTTGTTCAAAAACAACATTTGTTTGCCAGGGTCATATGCTGGAGCTTTCAATAGGATTCACATCTCCCTGTTAGGTGTAAGCCTGTACTTACAGCAGGAGGCTGGGAAGGTGGCTGCATGAATATAGATTGTTTCATTATTTGCTCCTGCTCTTGAATTTTACATCCCAGCAACTGGCACATAAGCCCTTTTTATTGACCATGGGTGCTGCTTAGTTTTGCTCCAGTATTGCCAGGAACAAATTCTGACCTCTCTCACAGAGCTGGGCAAGGAAGGTAAAATCACTGCTAAGCACAGAGTTACAGCTTGCTGAATTCAGGACAAAGAACTGCTGTCAAAATTGCTCCTGTCCCACCTACAGTCTCCTAGTAGGTGGATGAAGAAACAGTCTCCTATCTTGGTGACTACCCACAACATGGGAACCTCTCCTACGGATCCCAGCCTGTAAGACACAAGTAACAGGGTTTTCATAACTATCAAACTACCCAGGTTCCACTTATTACAGCATGGATTTTGAAAATCCCATTAAGCACCTAAATGCCATAACAAATCTGACCCTTAATCTCAGTTCTTAGTTCTGCAACAGAGGTAATAGCACTTCCCAGCTCCATAGGGAGGATGAAAAGGTAAATACATTAGTGGTTGTGAAGCAGTTACATACTGTAATAACTGAGGCCAGGTAAGTACCACAGCCAAAGATAGATGGCTGGCAGACGGATAAGTGATCTTTCCAAAACTGCAATATTAGGCTCTTACCTTCATCAAAAATACTGTTAGTCTTGTTCCTCCCACTGCCCACAGTGGGCCTGCATACCGATGTGTGAGATGATATACGCAAGGGAAGCCTTCCTCCAGCTTACCATGCTTAACGGACAGTGCCAAATGTGCCTCTTAAGCCCTTTTACTCAAACCTACCACTGAAGCATCTCTCATTTTAAAGAGAAGTGATGGCACCTGTGTATCTCACAGTGAGCCCTCTCCTGCTACTGCTGGAAGTTTTGTGCTCCTGGGAATCAATAAGGGAGCAAAGTTTTCAGTGCTTTGCTTTGAAAACTTCAGCAATAATTCAAAGGAGGTCAGCACATGCATTTGTACTGTGGTTTCCCTGAAAGTCATCATCCTCTTGGAAAGAGCATTACTTATCCAGATTTTTAGTTTTCATTTCCTTCATCATAAACAGTGCCATTAATCACTCCAGTAGCATGGATTATATTTCCTCATTGTCCCTGTCCTCTTCCCCAGGATAATGCGTTGTTTTCCTTACTATTATGAATAGCCTTTTGAATTTGGGGAGAAAAGAGGATATAACAGATGTTGAAGGCAGTACCACCAGCAGCTAGGGGCTGCTGATGTGCTTCCAATGAAGTGGACACAATTTCTTTAAAAAAAGAAAGTTTAATCCAAATAGTTCAGGGTCCAGCATTGACGCAAACAGGACCTGCAACGAGTGGCTGGTACCAAGGACTGCAGCACAGTAGAGAGATGATCTTCAACGGCTGATGTGATCTGAGGACCTATTACTTTTTATTTTATTTATTTT